TTTCCCTCCTTTCTTCCTCCCTGTCTTTCTCTCTCTCTTTCTCTTTCTACCTTCCTCCCCCTCCCCTTCCTTCCTTCCTTCCATCCTTCCTTCTTTCCTTCTTTCTTTTCTCCTCCTCCTTCTCTTCTTCTTAATCATCATTATCATTTTCTTCTCCTTTTCCTCCTCCTTCTTTTTCTTTTTGAGACAGGGTTTCTCTGTATATCCCTGGCTGTCCTGGAACTTCCCCTGTACACCAGGCTGGCCTCAAACTCAGCAAAGACTGGCCTGCCTCTGCCTCCTGAGTGCTGGAATCAAATGTGTGGGCCACCACTGGCCAGCTCACTTCTCATAAATGAGAACTGATTCTGTTACCAAGCCTGGGACCTTTGAGAACATTTGTTCAGTTCTGTTCAACATCATCAATTACTCATAAAGTTTTTGTTGTCTCATTGTTTTAGTCTCTTATTTCCCATTCTTTCCTTTCCAAAAACTATCGCCTCCAAGGGGTGCCTAAGTTCTGGGCTTTGCTAACACCTTTTTTTTTTCTTCCTTGCTGTATGTGTGTGTGACATACGTGCATGTACATGTGTGTGTACTTGTGTGTGTGAAGGCCAGAGTTTGAAGTCGGTTGCTGTCCTTAATCTCTTTCTGCTTTATTGTTTGTTATGTGGTCTCTTATGGAACCTGGAGCTCCCGGATTGGATTTGGCTAGACTCCCTGGGAAGCAAAAGTCCCCATCTCTACTTCCCCAGCACTTTCTTGACCACATCAAACCCAGCTTTTTACATGGGTGCTGGAGTGCTGGGTATCCAGACCCTCTGACTCTTGGTCTGGATGGATTAAGAAGGCAAGTAGTGGGTGAGGGAGGCAGTAAGCAGACTCTTCCATTCCCTGGGAAGTTCATTCCCTGACTTCCTTCAGTGACACTTATCTGGAAGTCTGAGATGAAATAAACCCTTTCCTCCCCCAGTTGCTTTGGTCATGGTCTTTATCACAGCAAAAGAAGCCCTAAGACCTTACCCTGTCTACTCATCCTTAAATTTTTCTGGCAGTACTAAGGATTGGACGCAGGGCCCCACACATGCTAGGGAGTGTTTTATAATTGAGCTATATCCCCAGGCCTCTTTTTATTTATTTAATATGTGCATATGTGTGTGGATGCTTGCCTACTGTAGCATGTATACAGAGGTCAGAGGACAACTTAAGGGAGATGGTTCTCCCTTCCACCTGGTGGATCCCAGGAATCGAACTCTGATGATTGGGCTTGGTGGCAATTGCCTTTACTCATTGAGCCATTTTGCCAGGCTTGCTTTTTGGAGTTTTAAATTTTGAGACAGGGTCTCAGTTTCATTAAGTTGCCCAGGGTGACTGTTAATTCAAGGTGTAGCCTAGGAAGGCCTTGAACTTGGATCCTCCTGCCTCACTTCCAGAGTAGCTGGGATTACAGGCAGGAGCAACCAGGTCTGCTTCTTCTTACTTTTTAATGATTTATTTATTTATTTATGCCAGGGGGCAGTGGCTGTCTTAATTAAGGTTTTTATTGCTGTGAAGAGACAACATGACCATGGCAACTCTTTGTGTGTGTGTGTGTGTGTTTGTTTGTTTGTTTGCTTTATTTTTTAAGACAGGGTTTCTCTATGTAGCTTTGTAGACCAGACTGGACTTGAACTCACAGAGATCCGCCTGCCTCTGGCTCCTGAGTGCTGGGACTAAAGGCGTGCACTGTTATGAGGAAAGCATTTAATTGGGGCAGTCCCTTACAGTTTCAGAAGTTTAGTCTCTTATCACAATGGGGATCATGTCAGCATGCAGGCAGATGTGGTGTTGGAGTAGCCAAGAGTCCTACATCTTGCAGGCAACAGGAAGTTGACCATTTCACTAGGCAGTATCCTGAGCATAGGAAGCCTCAAAGCCCACCCCAATAGTGATCCACTTCCTCTAACAAGATTATACCCATTCCAAGAAAGCCACACTTCCTAGTACTGCCACTCCCTATGAGATTATGGGGGCCAATCAAATTCAAATGACCACAGTGGCACACTCCTTTAATCCCAGCACTTGGGAGTTAGAGGCAGGTGAATCTTTTGTGAATTCAAGGCCAGCGTGGTCTACAAAGCAAGTTCCAGGACAGCCAGGACTGTTATACAGAGAAACCCAGTGTCAAAAACTATACACACACACAAGGAAACAAAGAAGATATTTATTCTTATTACTTTTTTTGAAGACATATATGCTCTATATCATAGGTGTGACTGCTTTGTTTCCATGTGTATATGTGCACCACATACTTGTCTAGTGCTTGAGGAGGCCAGAAGAGAGTGCTGGATTCCCTGGAACTAATGGATGGTTGTGAACTGTCACATGGCTGCTGGAAACTGAACCGGGATCCTCTGTAAAAGCGGCAAGCACTCTTGACCACTGAGCCATCTCTCTATCTCTCTAGCCTTCTTTTTATTATTTTTTAAGTGTGTATGTGTGTGTGTGGGGGGTGTCGATGTGCCTTCTGAGGTCAGAGGCATGGTATTTATTCCCAGGAGCTGGTTACAGGTGGCTGCAAGAACCACCTGATGTGGGTACTGTGAACCTTGGTCTCTGCAGGAGCAGCATGTCATGTGCTCTTAATTTCTGAGTCACTTGTTTTGTTTTTCAAAGTCTTCTGTAGCTGTCCTGCCTCACCTCCAGTGCTAAAGCCCATTTAGACTTAGATGTTATCTTTACAGTCTGCTTGCACAGGCCTGGACCAAGAGCTCCCCATTCAGCAACTGGAGATGACACCTAGGAAGCTGAATGTCAGGCTAGAGAGAAGGCTCAGTGATTGAGAGTACAGGCTGCTCTCCTAGAGGACCCAGTTCAATTCCCAGCACCCACATGATAGCTGACTGTCTGTGATTCCAGTCCCGGGAAATCCAACACCCTCACACAGGCATGTGTGCAGGCAAAACACTGATGTACATGAAATAAAAATAAATTAAAGAAAGCTGAATATCCCTTCCATTTCATATGTTCTAGAATGGTTTTACTTTAAAAAAAAAAAAGAAAGAAAAAAAAAAAGGAGTATAATGTATTTTGGTGAGGATTGGAATCCTTGTATACTGTTGGTAGGAGTGTAAAACAAAAGCGAAAAGCCTCAAAAGCTTGCTACTAAATGTAGAATTACCAAGTCACCAGTGCCAAATCTAGTCCTGCTCCTATAAGAAATATTTTAAACCTAGTTGTTTATAATATTAGAAGGGTCTCACAGTTCTGCAAGACAGAGGAGCCAGCTGATTGTTTCATGGTGAGGGCATTGTCTCTCAGCCGCTGCCTCCTGCCCTTTTCTTTCTGTCTTCCCATCCCCCAACTCCCCCTTCTTCCTCCTTTTTTTTTTTTTTTTTTTTTTTTTTTTTTTTTTTGAGGGGGAGATAGGAGAAGTGGGGGATGGTGATTCTGTTGATTGAAGCCAGGGCCTCATAAATGCCAGACAAGCGTCTTACTAAGATATATTCCCAGCTCTTAAAACTCAGAGTGAGGTTGTAGAACTGTGTTTTACAGTATGTCTTCTGAATACAGGAGATATGACTGTCCCAAACTGAGATTTGCTATATTTGTGAAATTTACACTGGGTTTAAAAACCTTGATATGAACCAAAGAATGTACAATATTTCACCATTCTTTTTATTGATTGTTTTCTTTGTTTTTCATTAAGATTTATTTTAAGTTTGTTTCAAATTTAAAGAACCCCCCCAAAGTATTTATTTTTATTTAATATATATGGGTGTTTTTGCCTGCATGTCTGTGCAATACATGCATGTGTTGCTCATGAAGGCCAGGAGAGGGCATCGTATCCCCTAGAACTGGAGTGAGTGCTGTGAACTACCACATGGGTTCTGGGAATCAAACCCAGGTCTGAAAACATAGCACATGCTCCTAATTGCTAAACTAACTCTCCATCCCTTGGTCTGTCTGTCTATCTATCTATCTATCTATCTATCTATCTATCTATCTATCTATCTTTTGCATAAATTCCACTAATCAGATTCACAGTCCTCCAGCCTCAGCTTCCCAAGGAGTTGGGATATGGCTATAAGCTACCTTGCTAGGCTAATGATATTTTAATAGTGATTGCTATTACATTAGATAAAACATTATTAATTTTTCCAGCACTCGAGAGGCAGAGGCAGGTGGATCTCTCTGAGTTTGAGGCCAGCCTGGTCTACAGAGTGAGTTCCAGGACAGGCTCCAAAACAATACAGAGAAACCCTGTCTTGAACAGCCCCCCCCCAAAAAAAATATTAATTTTTTTAAACAGTTGAGTACTTCCTGGAGACATAATAGGTTAAAGTACAAATAAAATTTGCAAGTTAAAATACAATTTTCTTTCTTTTGGGGGGGAGGTACAGGTAGGGGGCAGGGTGGGAGGTGGTGTGGGGGAAGAGTTTCATGTCACCCAGGCTCATTATGTGACTGAATCTACCCTTGAATTCCTGACCCTCCTGCCTCAGACTGGGTGCTGGTATCACTATGCCCAGCCAAACAGTCTTATTTTAAAGCTGGGGAGAAGCATACAAACTCGATTTTCTTCTAAAAAATAGGTTTTGATTAGGATGAGAAAATCGATAGTGTAACTAAGAGGCACCATAGAAAGAGAGCTGTCCTCATGCAGAAAGCAAGAGTTATTGGCTCTTTGATTTATGCTAGGAGTTTTGGAACTTTTCCTAGAGCAAAGCATGTTCTTCTCGCGACAGATACTGTGAATTGACCCTAGGCTTTGATGCGAGGCCAGGGCTCTACCACTGAGCTACACCTCTAGCCTTGATGCCACTGTTTACATTTGCTTCTATGATCAAGAGACAACATGAGCCCCCCACACAGACTTTAAGATATTCTATGTTCTGCCCCTACTGTGATAATTAAAAAGTGCAGAGCTTGCGCAAGGTGCGTGGCCACATTCCCCCTGGTTTGCAAAGGACATGCCTGGAACAAGCATTCGTTACTCTTTTTACATAATACTCATCTTTTCATGTTGCTCTCCCTTCCAGATCAGCAACATCTTGTTTTTCATTTTACCGCCCATCTGCATGTGCTTGTTCCGCCAGTATGCAACGTGTTTCAACAGCGGCATCTACTTAATATGGACTCTCCTAGTTGTAGTGGGTAAGTGAAGTCATGTGGGAACGGGACTGAAAGGGAGGAAGTGGTGCCCTGAATGCTTCCTGTCCCCTTTGTACATAATGTTTTGTAAACCAAAGGCACTCTGATGTCTTAGCCATCTCTCCCCTGATGCTAAAAGGACTCTTGAGTGCCTGCTTGATAACAAGGCTGCCTGTAACTATCACAGACCACCACTCAGGGTCTGTGCGCCAGTGTGGTTTTCTGAGAACTTCTGAAGAACCTCTGAAACAATTGAAGTCTGATGAGATTTGGTTCCAAAGGACTTAAAGAAAGAAAAATATTTAGATGCTTGGTCCCTCATTGTTCTGTGAAATACTGTGTGATTTCCATTTCCTCTCCAGCAGTTTGGGAACTCTTAACTGGGAGATAGTGTTGACTTTTATTTACTGCCTGTTATCGTGAACGTTCAGAGGATGGAGACAGAGTGTGCTTGGCCATGGAATTCCTTGACGTTTGAGCCTAACTTGAAACCTATTTCTAGACTTCATGTCTCTCTCTGTCTGTCTCTCTCCTCTTGTTCTCTGTCTCTCTGTCTGTGTCTGTGTGAGTCTGATAGCACCCAGAGAAGGGCTATCCAGGGCTACCTGAAGCAGTGGGCCTGTGTGAGTCTGCTCTGCATTAACTTTTTTGTTTGTTGTGATCGTTTCTAGGAATTGGATCTGTCTACTTCCATGCAACTCTCAGTTTCCTGGGTCAGATGCTTGATGAACTTGCCATTCTTTGGGTTCTCATGTGTGCTTTGGCCATGTGGTTTCCCAGGAGGTATTTACCAAAGATCTTTCGGAATGACAGGTAAGCTTCTGCTAAAGACTTTTGCTAGATGTGGTTACCAGTGTAATATACTTATCAAGTTGGTGACATAACACATTCATCAAGTTAACAATGTAATACACTTGTCAAGTTAGCAATGTAATACATTCAAGTAAGCAATGTAACACACTCATCAAGTTAGCAGTGTAACTCACTCATCAAGTTAGCAATGTGTAACACACTCAAGTTAGCCATGTGTAACACACTTAAGTTAGCCATGTAACACTCTCATCAAGTTAGCAATGTAACACATTCAAGTAAGCAATGTAATACACTCATCAAGTTAGCAATGTGTAACACACTCATCAAGTTAGCAATGTAACACCCTCACCAAGCAAATTACTGAATGAGTGAACTCAGCTAGCAAAGAGCTCATTGTACACTTGCTTATTGTCCACTGAGTTTAATGATCTGACAATACAGGTGAGCTGTCTGTACTTCCCAAATAACCCCTTACATTTGCACTGTCTTTTTACATTTATTTATTTCATGTGCCTTGATGTGAAGGTGTCAGCCGCCCCCCCCCCCGGAACTGGAGTTACAGACAGATGTGAGCTGCTGTGTGGATGGTGGGAATCGAACCCAGTAACTACTGAACCACCTCTTCAGCAAGCTCTTCTACAAAACCTACAGCCAGTCCTCATTTCATAGTTCACTTCATTTTTGGAATCTTGAATGGCTAGAGTGCAGGCTAAGCCCTGCCTTTTTTTTTTTTTTTTTTTTTTTTTTTTTTTTAGATTTATTTATTATGTTACCAGCATTCTCCCTGAATGTTATGTCTGCATGCCATGAGAGGCCACCAAATCTTATTATAGATGTCTATGAGCCATTATGTGGTTGCTGGGAACTGAACTCAGGATCTCTGGAAGCCCAGTGCTCTTAACCGCTGAGCCATCTCTCCAGCCCCAGCCCTGGCTGTCTTAGCAAACAGAAAGCTAGAAGCATAAATTCTCTGGGCCTCACTTTGAAAACAACAGGGGTTGGAGAGCTCTCTGAAGCCCTTACCAGGGACAAGAGCTATAGCACCACGATAAGGCAAGGGTGCTGTTTTAACTAGGTGATGTTTCTTCTGTGACCCTTGAAACTACTGAGTCCTAACATTGTAAGGGACATCTCAGAAGTTTGTGTACATGGTTTCATTATCCATAAATGATGGCAGGTTTTATCCTCCATAACATCCATCTCACTTTGTAGGAGTAAAGGTGACATACCAAGTACTAAATAAAAACAAAAACAAAACAACAACAACAAAAAACTGGATCAGTTAAGGTTCAAATCCTCCCTTTAGAAGGTAGCTAATGGTAACAGTAACAACTTCATTGAGAGATAATGGTCGGGAAATTGGATTGCTAGATTTGGGTTTGGGGAATACAGAAGGGGTTGCTAAGAGTTTCTTCACTGTGTGCTCTAGCATGAGAATATATGGGCTGACAGCTAAATACAAGGCTGAGGTAGGAACTGCCTGCCATCACACACACTGTCAGGGCCCCTTGCTCCTGGAAATTTCTAGTTCTCTAACACCTAGGGCCTCTGGTGACTCTTGCTTGGGTATGCTGGGCTGGCTGGCTTTCTGGTGGCATGTGACCTCTGTTTACTTTGACTAGTTGCTAAATTGTGTGTTTGGACAGGATGTCCTCATTGTCCAGTACATTCCTCCATTCCCTCTGGACCCAGTGTGGGGAGGTGTCTGCAAGTGTCTCCTAAAGTATGTGCCTTTAAACTATTTGGCAGTATTATTCAGAACCTTTGGGAATTACAATGGCTGTCCAGCCTGCTCTCCTTCAGAAGATGTTATCAACAATAATATTTTCTTCTGTTTAGTTTGCTTTGTTCTGTTTCATTTTGAGACATGATCACGCTCCCAAGTGCTGGGATTACAGATATGAACCCCAATGGCCGGCTCAACAACAGTGATATTATTAACATAGTATTTCTTCTAAGAAAGATGGTAATAATAAGTCTTATTGACACATCACCTATCCTAGACCCTATATTAAGTCCGAAGTGCTTACAAGAATGCCATGGGTGTTAGTGGTTCAGTTTCAAGTCAGAAAGGCTTGAGGAGTTAAGCTTCTTGCAGAGATCTCACAGTCACACTGAACAGTGGGGCTGGGCTTGTGAGTACATCTGTCGCATCGGAAACATCAGTGCTTTTAATCATTGTATTCCTCTTTCCAACTTGTGCCCGAATCCTAAACCTCTGGGTATGAGAGGTGATATACTTTGCAAATTTATTTTCTTTCCTCACACCTTCCCTCCTCTCCCCTCTCCTTCTGTCTCTCATTTTTTTTTTTTTTTTCAAACAATATCTCGTGTGTCCTACACTTGCTCTAAGCTTGCTACCCGAGGATGGCTTTGAACTTCTAGTCATCCTGCTTCCTGCTTTCATGTACTAGGATTACAAATATGCATGACCACACTTAGTTTTTGAGATGCAAGGGCGGACCCCAGGACTTCACGCATACTAGGGAAGAACTATGCTAGCCTAGCTTTATCTCTAGCTTCTTAACCTCTGGCTACATGTTTCCAATGAAAGGGGAGGGGGTGTAAAGTAATTCATAGTAAAGAAAAACTGGCAATGAAGACTAAAAAGTAGAACAGTGTACAGGTGTGGGGTACAATAAGAAGTAAAGAGACACATGGGCTTGTCCTGTGACAAAGACGGGAGAGAGAAGGAACACAGAGAGAGCAGCACAAGGCCTTAGCCTTGGTGTGTCGGAAGCCGGGAGAGTTGCCCAGTGTCCCAGAGGCCATCCATGTGCTCTCCTCAGGCTGGACAGGCAGGCAGCCTTGCTTCCGGTAGCTGAAGGATTCTGGCCTGTCAGGAAGAAAACACGAGTCTCCCGAGTGAGCATTTGCCTCCTGCTTCCTTTCACATATGTCTGTTACAAAGCCCGTTCATTCCAGTCAGAAGGTTGGCAGCTTGATCAATGATTTCCTGTGCCTTGATGATAAATGCCTTTCCTCTTTAGAAGATAAATTCGTGTTTTGAAGGGGGTCTATGCTCTTTGATTTCTTTATAATAGAACTCCATTCCAATCAGTTTCCTAACTGTTCCGGGGCTCTTGGCCAAAACAAATTCTGCTAATGACAAATAACAGAAACTACAGGAAAATCATGTGCTCCTTAATTGAAGCCATGGATAAGGCCTCTGAGAGTGGCTAGGCCAGGGCCTTTTTGCTCTATAGATCAGGAAACAGGGTCCCCAGAGAGGAAGAAGTGTGTCTAGGATCACGTCGCCACTTCTGGCCGGCTCCACTTCTCTGCAGGCTGTGAGGGAGTCAGTGATCCATCATGTCAAGACAGAACTTCCAGTTCACACTAGACATACAGGCTGCCAGGAAATAGTCATTTGATTTTTTTCCCCCAAAAACTTGTAGTTTTATAGGCTGGGCACATGGATCTTTTTTTTTTTTTTTTTAAGTGGTAATGCTCATGCTTTATTAATGGCCTTTGATTGCCTCATAAAAGTCATGCATGGCCAGGCAGTGATGGTGCATGCCTTTGATCTCAGCCCTCAGGAGACAGAGACAGGAGGATCTCTGTGGGTTCCAGTACAGACTCCAAAGCTACAGAGGAAGCCTGTCTGGGACGGGGTTGGGAGGGGGATGGGGAGGTGGTGGGGGGGTCATGCATGATGACCTGGGTAGAATAGGGCTTGGCAAACTTTCAGGGCTAAATGGGTTTGGTGAGGTTTTATCAGCACATAGTGTGAGTTCCTGAACTTATCTTTATAAAGTCAGAGCAGAGTAGTAGCTCCAACAAAGAGCTTGGGATTTCCAAAACCTAAAATGCTTCTGCCCTTTTACAGATTTCTTTTTTAAAATTTGAGACAGGGTCATTTTTTAATTATTATTATTATTTCTTATTTTGCATATTGATCCCAGTTCCCTCTCCCTTCCATCTTTCTGTAACTCCGCCCCCCCATCCCATTCCCCACCCACTCCACAGGGAGGGTGAGGCCTTCTAGGAGGGATCATAAAAATCAGTCAAGTCTTAGAATAGGGCCTAGGCCCTCCCTCCTGTCTCTAGGTTAAGGGAGTATCCCTCCATGGGGGATGTGCTCCCAAAGTCCTTTTGTGCACCAGTGATACATCCTTGTTTCACTGTCAAAGGTCCCTTAGACTGCCCAGGCCTTCTAACTGAGACCCACATTCAGAGGGTCTGGGTTGGTCCGATGCTGTTTCCTAGCTATCAGTCTGGGGTCCATGAGCTCCCCCTTGTTCAGGTCAGCTATTTCTGTGGGTTTCTGCAGCCTGGTCTTGATCCTTTTGCTCATCACTTCTCCCTCTCTACAACTGGATTCCAGGAGTTCAGCTTAGTGTCTAGCAGCGGGTGTCTGCTTCTGTTTCCATCAGCTACTAGATGAGGGTTCTAGGATGGCATATAAGTTATCAATCTCATTATCAGGGAAGGCATTTAAGGTAGCCTCTCCACTATTGCTCAGATTGCTAGTTGGGGTCAGTCTTGTAGGTCTCTAGACATTTCTCTAGAGTCAGTTTTCTCTTCAAACCTATAATGGCTCCCTACGTTATGGTATCTCTTTTCTTCCTCTCCTCTATTTGTCCCCCAACTCAATCTTCCTGGTCCCTCATGTTCTTCTCTCCCCTCCTCTTCTCCTCTTCTTTTTCTCCTAACTCCCTCACCACTCACTGCCCTCCCTCCCTATATATGCTCAGGAGATCTTGTCCCTTTCCCTTCCTGTGGGGGACCTTGTATGACTCTCTTAGGGTCCTCCTTGTAACCTAGCTTCTCTGATGGTGTGAATTGTAGGCTGGTGATCATTTACTCTATGTCTAAAAATCCATATATGAGTGAGTATATACTGTGATTGTCCTTTTGTGAGTGGGTTACCTTACTCAGGATGATTCCTTCTAATTCCATCCATTTGCTTGTGAATTTCAGGATTCCATTGTTTTTTTTTTCCCCTGAGTAGTATTCCATTGTATAAATGTACCATTTTCTTTATCCATTCTTCAGTTGTGGGGCACCTAGCATTACAAATAATTCTGCTACAAACATAGTTGAACAGTTGTTCTTGTTGTATGAATGGGTATATGCCTAAGAGTGGAATTTCCAGGTCCTGTAGTAGACTGATCTCCAAAATGGCTGTACAAGTTTGCACTCCCACCAGCAGTGGAGGAGTGTTCTTCTCTCTCCACATCCTCTCCAGCATAAATGAGATAGGGTCATTTTAAACATTTATCTTATGTGCATTGGTGTGAAGGTGTCAGATCCCTTGGAACTGGAGTTACAGACAATTGTGAGCTGCCATGGGAAGAACAGCTACTGCTCTTAACCACTGAGCAATCTCTCCAGCCCCAAGACAGGGTCTTAAAACATGTTATGTAGCCAAGGCTGGTCTTGAACTCCTGGTCTTCCTGCATCTACCTTCCAAGTGCTGGAATTATAGTCCTGTGCCATTGTGTCTGGTTTATGGAAAAGAAGTTTGTCAACTCCTGTAGAAGAACATCTGAAGAAACACAGATAAGATCAGAGAAATCATTGAGACTTTTTCTTCCCAGAGCCCTAGGTTGATTTCAGTTTAACCATGTTCCCAACTGTTTTCAAATCTTTGATCTACCAACAATCAGCTCCTGGAAGTAGAATGGGCAGCTTTTAGATCTGGTTCATTTGTGACCTAATACTACTTTAGACTCTCAACCCATGGGTCAAGACCACCTTGGCATCAAAGCTTAGATATTTACATTATGATTCATGACAGCAGTAAAATTACAGTTATGAAGTAGCAACAAAATAATATTATGGTTTGGGGTCACCACAACATGAGGGACTATTTTAAGGGTCACAACATTAAGAAGGTTGAAAACCACTAGTGTAGACGTTCTCTGCTTGTACAAATAGTGGTAGCTGCACCTCACCAATAGTAATAAGTAATGTATGCTCAGCATACACAAGGCCCTGGGTTCAGTGCTCAGCTTGGGGTTGGGGTAGCATGTCAAATAAATAAGCAGGATCTCCTTTACTAATGGATTTGGTTTTGACTCCACTGATTCAGGGGCAGATTCAAGGTGGTGGTGTGTGTCCTGTCTGCAGTTACAACGTGCCTGGCGTTTGTCAAGCCCGCCATCAACAATATCTCTCTGATGACTCTAGGGGTCCCATGCACTGCCCTACTCATTGCAGAACTGAAGAGGTGGGTGTCATTTTTTGTTATGAGTATTTTTTTCCACCGGCCTGGCCCCAGAGCTGTGCTAGCCCCAAATAACACATAGAGACATTGTATTAGATATTATGCTGTTGGCCTGTTACTAGCATTTCTTATTGGCTAGCTCTGTCTTAAATATTAACCCATTTATATTAATCTAAGTATTTCCACATGGCCTTATCTTACCAGAGAGAGGATCTGGCATTCTACTCTCTCCATCCTTCATGTTGAATCTCCTCCTACCTCTTCCGGAATCCTCCTTCTCTCTTAGTCCCATCTATCTTGCTTTCCTATTGGCCAACAATTTTTCCTGCTTTTATTGTTGCTTATTATTGCCTAGGTAACCGTTTTCTTCTGGGAAGTTGAGGATGAAGATTTTGAATATACTGAAATATTTTTTAAATATTTGTTTTTTATTTGTTATTATTATTTTTGTTTTTTTTTTCTGAGATAGGGCTTCTGAGATAGGTATTAAAAGCCCTGGCTGTCTGGGAACTAGTTCTGTAGACCTGGCTGGCCTCAAACTCACAGATGTCTGTATGCCTCTGCCTCCCAAGTGCTGGGATTAAAGGTGTATGCCACTACCACCACCACCCAGCTTTGTTTTTTATTTTAAAAATATTTTTTAAATGTATATATTTTATTTTGTGTGCATGTGTGTATGTCTGCATTTATGTGTACAAGGAGTCCTCAGAGATCAGAAGAATAATCCAGGCCCCAGAACTGGGGGGGGGTCACATATGTTATGAGCTGCCTGACCTATGTGCTGAGACCAGATCTGAGTCCTCTAGAAGAACAGGGTGTCCTTAACCTCTAGGCTACCTCTCCACTCATTCCAAAAACATTTCGTGTGGGCTGGAGAGATGGCTCTTCCAGGGGTCCTTAGTTTCATTCCCAGCATCTACCAAACATCTAGTACATTCTTCTGACCTCTGCAGACACTAGGCATGCACTAGCCATGCACATGGTATACATTCATTCAGGTTAAATATTTTATTTTAGGTCTTGTGAGTGAGTCTTCTAGCCTCAAAGTACATATGATCACTGATCTAATTTTAAGATTTGATGAAAGAAGATTGTTTTTGTTGTAGTTACTTTAAAATATTTTTTAATCCATACTTCCTCTTATGAACACTGAATGTCTTGGCTTTTTGAAACCAGCTTTTGCTATGTAGCCAAGGCTGGCCAGGCTGGGGACTAACTCATATTGATCTTCCCACCATAGCTTCCTTAGTGCTAGGACTATAAGTGTGATGATATACCACGGCCATGAGTGAAGTTTTAAAAGCAAAAATGTTAAGTGTGTGTATCACTTGCATGCCTCATTCTTGGGGAAGCCAGAAGAAGGTACCAGATTCCCTGGAACTGAAGTTAAAGATGGTTGTGGCCCATCATGTGGATGCTGGGAGATGAACCTGGGTCCTCTGGAAAAGCAACCAATGCTCTTAACCCTTGAACCATCTCTCCCCAAATGCTTTTTAAAAATATATTTTTAAATTAAATTTGGTCTTTGAGAATTTCCTACATGTACATAATGTATTCTGGTTTCTCTTACTCCTGCTCTTTCTATTTTCCCTCCCATCCTTATCAACACCGCTCATCCTTCTCTATAAATCTATTTCTTGTCTTTTTTTTTTTAACCCACTGAGTTTAATCAGGGCTGTCTGTCTGTATAAATATGGGTTTGGGATTGTCTGTTGGAGCCTGATGGGCTCACTGAGTACACAACTGAAGCTGATGACTGCTCTCTCCCCAGAATCCACCAGTTGCCAGTAGTTCATCAGACAGAGGTAGGGTTCCATGCACCCCTCTCTGATCAGATGGACAACTGACAGGCCCAGTCTGTGTAGAGCCAGTGGAGGCAGCATCCGCAGTTGCTGTGTGATGGCATTTGTAATGGCTATCTATGCCTGCTCAGAAGATGGCATTTTGTAGCCCTTCTTCGTATCTTCCAGTTCTTATAGTCTTTTCACCTCCTCTTCCTCCACATTCCCTGAGCCTCAGAGGCGGTGATACAGATACAGATACAGATGCCCTGTTTAATTCTGAGTGCTCAGCCATCATTTACTCTCAGCACTTGAGCAGCCACAGGTCTCTGCATTCACTGCTGTTCATTGCAATGAGGTGCTTCTTTGAGGAAGGCTGAGAGAAGCATTTGTCTATGAATAGAAACACAAATACTTAGAAGGCAATTTGGGTCCAAGTCAGTTTAGTTTTCCTCCTTAGGGGTTAAGACTTTCTCATCCATGGGTTTGACTAGGTTCACAGTACCACGGCTTTGAGTGTCTTAGTTGAAGTTAGGTCTTTCTCCCTCTGATAGCAAGCACCATGTCACGTGTTAGCGCAGCATAGGAGATGATAATTTCTTTCTGGCTGCTTTGCTTCCCAGAGCTGCTCTGATCATCAGCAATAGCATCCAGGTTTGGCATCAGATGTTACTATCCACTGAGTTATCATGACAGCTCTTTTTTTTTTTTTTTTTTTTTTTTGACCCAGAGTAGCCTTGAACTCACTATATAGTTAGGTTGCCCTTAAACTGACCCTCCTCTATCCATCTCCTGGGTATTAGGATTACAAGTGTTGTGCCACTGCACCTAGCTGCAATATGCTTAATTATAGGCACCTGGGAGCTTAAATGGCTCAAACCATATTGTCCGGGGTTGAGGTTAGAGTCAGAGGGGCTTGTGAGGAGGTAATGGCAGGGTAGGGGTGGGGCGAGGAAAGGAATGATAGCAAATAAAGAAAAGATTTCTTGTTCATCACAAGAAAAAATGTAAAATTAGATGGAGGTGATGACTAAATACCTCTCAATATTCTACAGTCCAGAATTATGTAATTTATGCAGGTGGATTTTACAGTGCAGGAATTATATTCCAGTAAAGCTATTAACAAAAACACAGCAGTGTTTCTGTCTCTGCAACCATAGATCTGTCCAAACTGCACATTTCCCACATGTGATATTCAGCGTTTGTCTACTTGTCTGTAGCAGATTGTTCCCAGTGATGATGAGGAGATGTAGAGAGGGAGAACGTGTGGCCTTTAATAGATACCTGGTGATATCATCACCAGTGATACTGTGTAAGTCTGGAGCCGTGTTCTACCACAGACCCACGCTACTTCTCAGGGATAAATCTTTGAATAAAGCGTGCGTTGATCCATTGGGTCTTCCATAATAACAGTTACTTCTATTTAAAAAAAATAAATAGGGGGCTAGAGAGATGGCTCAGCAGTTAAGAACACTGACAGCTCTCCCAGAAAACCTAGGTTCAATTCCTAGCACCCGCATGGCAGCTCACAACTGTCTGTAACTCCAGTTCCATGGAATTTGGCACCCTCATACAGACATACATTCAGGCAAAATATCAATGCATATAAAAATAAATAAATCTTTAAAGAAGTGAGTAAACAAAGTTGGGGGCACTGGCAACACTTAGGAAACTGAGGCAGGAGAATTGCAACTTCAGAGAGAACTTGTCTCAAACAAGGAAACATCTGTCTCTTGGGCTGGTTTCACTCCCTGTTAGCAGCTCTCCTTGGCCGGTATCCCACAGCTCTGGCATCTCCAGCATCTTGGGGTCTCCAAGGCAATCCAGGCTTCACCTTCACAGCCTCATGCAATGCCCTCTCTAGTCCTCCATTCAGGGACACCGTTGACACATGCCTGGCCTCAGCGGCTTTCCTTAGTTGCAGAGGAGAGTTCTATGATGCCTTTCTTTTATCCTGACTCTAAAGCCAGAATCATGTGGTTAAAGCTGCCATGTTCTGCTGCTTACAGGTGCTGGAACATGGCCACCCTCGTTCAATTACATCTCCACCAGCTTTCTGTTTCCCATAGTGTCCTTCACTGCCTAAGCTTAGCTATCCTGGAACTTGCTCTGTAGAACTGGCTGGCCTCAAACTCAGAGGCTGCCAGTCTCTGCCTCCTGAGTGCTGGGATTAAAAGCTATGTTGTCTTTCTTATCTTTAGCTTAAAAAAAAAAAAAAAAATCTACTTAGCAGCTTACCTGACTCCTGTAATTGCAAGAGTCACAGGTATAAAATGTTCAAACTGACAAAGCAGGGTTCCTTATCTGTTTTTCCCACTTCTAGTCTTTTCTATAGTATTTCCAGTTGTGCTAAATAGGAGTACTACTATATGTGCAGATGTCCAAGTCAGAAGATGTCTTCCCCTGAACATCTCCTCTGGTCCTGGTCATTGTTCTACTAGTTGGCATGGCAATAATGATAAAATTCAAAGTCTTTCACATACATCTCTGCTGCCCCCATAAGTTGAGCATCCCTCAGCACGCACACAATGTCTTCATTTGAGCCCAGGTCCCGCTAACTCCAGGCCCTTGGCCATACTTCGCTTTTCTGACCCTCAGTGTGGCTAACTGCTGGTGGCCCTATAGTTTAGAGTTTAGCTCTTTATGTGTCCTTGTATGGTTCTCTTTTATGGCATTCACTGTTACCATGATTAGAAAGTAGTCTGTGTTTCTGTTTTGTTCAACTTCTGCTGGACACAAAGGGGCACTGCATGGACAGGGCTCGGGTGTCTTCGTTCCCTGCTGTGACTCAGTTACACCCAAGTCCCAGTAAGGAAAAGTAAAGTTTCCCTGCTTTGATAAGATCCCCCCCCCCAAAAAAAAAGGGTGCTCTCAGAGCTCTTTGAGTTTCCTTCCAGCATTTTCCCTGTTTGTTCTTACATGGCATGTCGTGTCTGTCCTAGATAGTTTGTCTCATTGTGCCTTGCTTTACCTAGGGGACAAAGAGGAAAAGCTGCCTGTTATCACCTTGCTTCTCTGTAGCCTTCCTTCCTGAAGCATGTCTGGCTTTTAGAGTTTCAGTGTCTGTTCTGAACCGTCTCTCAACAGGAGAAAATGAAAGTTCATTCTGATTCAGAGTCATGACCTGATTGATATTGCTGAACTTTGGGATGTTTAAAATCACATTGCTATGAGATTCTCCTGCATTTAAAATACTTTAAAAACTTTTCCTGGAGTCTGGTTTCTGGGGGGCAGTTTAAATACCTGTGGGAGTGGTCTTGAACATCTGGGGGGGTCACCATTTGATGGGCTTTCTGAGATGCAGCAGGGTTTTGGAGGAAGATGGGAGGGAAGGGGGCTTGGGTGGAACCTCCACCATAACATCCCAGACTCTTTGGGTAATGGATGCCAGGGGCTGGGGTGAAGCTTTTATCATAACATCCCAGACTTTTTGGGTATATGGGCACAGGTTCATGTCTGGCTTCTTCTTGCTGACAAGGGATGGTGTGTGTGTGTGTGTGTGTGTGTGTGTGTGTGTGTGTGTAGGGGGCAGTCAGGAGTTGGCAGGTTCACGCTCAGTGGAAGGTGTGGGTGGAGAAACATCTGGTTAGTTGCCATGCTGGAAACCTCAGGCATCTATTCCTTGAGGTAGATAAGACAGGTTGCTAGGAGAAAAAATAGATTGTTATCATTGGCCCTAATTGAATGTGTCAGGAAAAGAAAAAGCAAATAGGCCCTTTATTGTGGCATCTTGGAAAACAGGACGGTGGGGGGGTCCCAGCTGCTGTACAGATCAAGTATCCTGAGGAGGTGCGCACTCCAGCCTGGAGAGGTGGTGCCAGCATGGATGTCCTAGGAGCTTGGCAGCCTAAGGGCTGGTGGGGATCACAATGTAGGGTCTTGTCCATCCTGAGTGAATGGGTGAGGATCAAAGCACGGAGAGAAAATGAAGGGGAGCTCACACATGGGGCTTGTGCGTGGATGCTGCCCCTCTCCCCCCCCTCACTAAAGTTGACTGCAAGGACAAAGGTAAGAGTGGGTTAGAGAGGAGGAGATGGCGGCTTGTACCCACGTGGACAGAGGGCAGGTTTGGGGTGGGTTTTGAAGGAAACTTGATATGGCGTCTGTGGACAGGAGGAAAGACTACTTGAGCTTGTATCTGTTTTAGATGTCAGGGTACCCTTACAAGATGGTAGTAGTTCTATGTGTCTGGAGTCAGGGCCAGGACCATGTGGGAAATAAGGTTAAGTGAGTCGAGTGTGTACCTATGATATTTACATCTGTGTGGCTGTGCCTAGAGCTGGAACAGAAGTTTTGGAGATACAGGAGAAGCAGCCAGCAAGCCCTATGGAACCAGAACTGACACTCTCTCCCTCTGACCTGTAGGTGTGACAATGTCCGTGTGTTTAAGCTGGGCCTATTCTCCGGCCTCTGGTGGACCCTCGCCCTCTTCTGCTGGATCAGCGACCGTGCCTTCTGTGAGCTGCTCTCCTCCGTTCACTTTCCATACCTGCACTGCGTGTGGTAAGCTCCCGTCCTGGGGTGGTGGCATTGACCCTGGTGTTCCCCCTTGCTACTGCTGGCATGGGTGCCCCCTGCCAGGTACACAGGTGGGTTCAGGGGAGGGGCGCAGAGCCAAGCATTCTTCTTTTCTCTCTCCAGCCAGGCATTTTAGAAACAGTGGAAAGTAAGGTAGAGTGTGAAAACTCTCTACCTGTTTGGCTGCTTTAGCCAAACACTCCGACCCCCCACCCAACCCCGCCCAAGACCTAATTGTTATGCCGCACCGAGGGCTGGCAGCCTCTTCTGCAGCTCCTTAATTAGTACCGGGGAACCTGAAAAGTGAGTCCGCACGCAACCTGAGCTCCAAGGGTGCTCAGGTGGGGGAGGGGGTGCTGGGGACTCGTGTGACGTGAGGACAGGACGGTTCTCAACAGGAACCACGCCTCCAAGGAAAGCTTGGACCTCACAGGTCGTTTTGGGACCGGCTCACCTTTTCCAGCTACAGACAAAGCCCAGGGGACTGAAGTCTATCGTGGGACATCACTCACACTCTTTCATGATAAGGAAACAGAACATCTATTATTTTGGGAAGCTTGGGAATGGCTCTAAAGTTCAAAGAAAAGAAAATGGAGGTTACAAAACCACACCAGACCCACACTCAGGAAGGGGAGGAGGCAGTGGAGGATGGGGAGGGGTAGCTCAGTGGTAGACTGCCTGCCTGGCATGTACAAGGCCCTGGGTTCAAATTCTACTTAAAAAAAAGGCGCAAGTGGGAACAGGGAGTGGCTTTCTTCTTAGCAACTGCTTTAGCTCCAAACCAAGAACAAGGCAGTGTTTCTGGCTCTGTCCTCATGGCTGCTCAGTACAAAAGATGGTAGGGAGCAAAGGTCGTCTAATGTCCTGGTAGATTAGTAGCATCCAAGGATGTTCTATAGTGCTTTAACTCCATATCCAGAGCCATCTTCAGAGGGACACAGGGATCTCAGTGTGGTCTGGGAAGGGTGGCTCACACCTGCCCTCCCAGCATGTGTAAGGTTGAGGCTGGATGTTTGCCACAGGATCCAGGTTAGTGTGAGCCAGGTTAGTGAGGTTCTACACACACACACACACACACACACACACACACACACACCACTTTATTACTATTTAATGCTTCCTTACATGATGCTTTATAATTTACTTAACCAATCTATTAATAACTACCAGGTTCTTTGTGTGTACAAATGGTGTATATGTGTGCTGCATACATATAAATGTGTTTGTGCAAACATGCTCATGCATGGGAAAGCCACGGCAGGGCTAGAAGGCAGTTACTTTGCTCAATTGCTCTCTGCTTTCTTGCCTTGAGACTGCGTCTCTCACTGAAGCAGAAATTTGCCTTTTCAGCTAGGCTGACTATCCACCAAGCTCTTAGGTATGCCTGTCTTGCTGTCCTTTGAAGCTGGGATTGCAGGCACACACAGCCACTCAGCTTTCTATATGGATGTTGGGGATTTGAACTCAGGTCCTCATGTTTGTAGTACAAGAGCCTCTTTCTTCCACTAAACCATCTCCTGAGCTCCATATTATGTCATTTCTAATTTTTCACTTTTGTAAATAATCTATAAAAATGTCTATTGATTCTAATATTTATAGGTTAAATTTTAATATAATTTACAAGATGGCAACACACTTTTCTTTAAAATGAGGTCTTGGACTGGGGATGTGATTTAGTTGGTATAGGGCTTGGGTAACATGAACAAAGCCCTGGATTTGATCTCCAGCACCACATAAACTGAGGGCAGTGGTACAGGGTCATGATCTTAATAGTTGGCAGGCTGAGTCAGGAGGGCTACAAGTAAGTGAGCCGCTTGGGTTACAGACTGAGACCTTATCTATCTTATTATTCTTATTCTACTCTCTCTCTCTCTCTCTCTCTCTCTCTCTCTCTCTCTGTATGTGTGTGTGTGAGAGAGAGGGGGTGTGTGTTTGAGGGAGGGTTGGGTTTTGTTTTGTTTTTTCCCCCTAGAGACAGGATTTCTCTGTGTAACAGCCCTGGCTGTTCTGGAACTTGCTCTGTAGATCAGGCTGGCTGGCCTCGAATTCACAGAGATCCACCTGCCTTTGCCTCCTGAGTGCTGGGATTAAAAGCATGTACCACCACTGCCCAATCTCACTACGTAGTACCAGTTGGCCTGGAACTCTCCGCACACCAGGTTGGCTCAAATCTACAGAGAATTGCCTGCCTTTGCTTCCTCAGTGCTGAGATTAAAGGTGTGTGCTACCACGCCCAGCTATTTATTTCCTGTTTGAGGCAGTCTTGTGTATTCCAGTATGACCTCAAATTCACTGTGCAGTCCCAAGTGCTGGAATTCAGACTAGTGTCACCATATCAGACTTTGTTTTGCTTCTGTTGGCAATGCTGGGGATCTTTGACACTAGGCAAGCCTGCCACTTCTGCCCCAAGCAGTTACACCCCAGTCCTGCAGTCACTTTACTGACATCTCTCAGGGTGCCTTAACCCACATGCTCACACAATGCAGGCGGTTATTAATTCTTTTAAATCTTTGCTAACCTGATAGGGAAAAAAAAAATTGAGCTGGGTGGTAGTGGTGCATGCCTTTGTTCCCAGCACTCAGGAGGCAGAGGCAGGTAGATTTCTATGAGGTTGAGGTCAGCCTGGTCTACAGAGTGAGTTCCAGGATAGCCAGGACTATTTTGCCAAAAAAAAAACCAAACAACAACAACAAAAAAACCTTTTATTTTTATTTTCATGTCTTCAAAGTTAGTGTCACTAGATTCTTTTTAAATTGTAATCTGAATGGTAGCTTTCGATTGTAATCTAATTGCAATCTTCCCTTTTGAAGTATGCCTTCTAATGTTTTCTTTTTCAGTCATTACTGCCTACAATGACTGTGTTTTGTCTGTTAAGCAGATTAATTAGTTACTCGTTAGTTAATAATTGTTGTTTTGAGACAGGGTCTCACTGTACAGCCCTGGCTAGCCTGGAACTGGCTTGTAGACCGGGTTGGCTTCAAACTCACAGGGACCGTGCCTGCTTCTGCCTCCCAAGTGCTGGGAATAAGGCGTGCAGCTCTGTACCCAGAATGAGGTTTTTAAAGAATAAAGGAGCAACCATGTATGCTCCAGCTTCAGTGTATGGTTGGGGCCTGTGTCTTGTTTCTCCTACCTTCCCTACTTTTCATCCAAACCCATTGTAAAACACAGCCCACACAACATTCATAATTTATAACACCTTTTTTGCTATTAGTTTTAGCTCTTTATTACATTGGACAAATATTTCTCCCAGTTTCCTATTTTTTTTTTAAGCACACTAATAGTGTTGTGCTGTATTTACTTTGAATTATGCTGTCACACATGTCTGACTTTTCTTTATGGTTTCTGGCTTTTGTGTCATTCTAAGGAAAGCCTCTTCCATCAAAGTTATGAAAATATAGGTCTTTTGGAATTTATATTAAAAGCACAGTGGCTGGAGGGATGGCTCAGCAGTTATGAGCACTTGCTGCTCTCACAGAGGACCCAGGTTCAGTTCCTGCACCCAGGCTGAACAGATCACAAACACCTGAAACTCCAGCTCCAGGGCATCCCATACCCCATTGTGGCCTCTGCAGGTACCCATACAGGTGTCCATACACTCACACAGGACACACAAATACATGTAAATTCAAACAAACCATTTAAAAATTATATTTTAAATCTTTTCTTAAGTAATTTAACATTTTTACATTTGTTAATTTGTGCTTGTATGTGTGCATACGTGTGTGGACATGTATATGCCATAGGACATGTGTAGAGATCAAAGGACAACTTTTGGGAGTCAGTCAGCTCTTTCCTTGTGCCATGTGGGTTCTGGGGATTGAACTCAGGCCATCAGACTTGGTGGCGATCACTTCACCTACTGGGACGTCTCACAGGTCCATATTTGAAATCTTTAACTCCTTTGGAATTGGGTTTCAGTATAGGGTATAAGGAAAAATATGTCTGCCTTTAAAAGATTTATTTCTTGATAAAGATCAAAATTGAAGCTTTTGACATGTAAAGATAATTTTTTTTTTTAAAAAAGGGTTTTCCATAAAGCTGCAAGCACACTTTAATGTAGGATGATTTCTGATGAAAAGTACAGGTTGTATTCATTGCTAGGGTGAGAAGGTGGGATCTTATTCCGGGATCAGGCACTTCTAGTTTTATCCTTGGCCTACAGTTTCACTGGAAGGCCCTAAATGTACTTGGTCCAATTATCAAATAGAGCTCACAGAGATCTGCCTGCCCCTGCCTCCCCGAGTGCTGGGATTAAAGGCGTGTCACTGCCCGGGAAAGCCTTGAACTTGTGGCGGTGGGTCCTCCTGAGCTGGCTTCCTAGAGCACTAGGGTTGCAGGTCTGAGCTACTGTGCCACTTCAAATGGAGATGTTTGGGATTTTAGGATGTTCTGCAATGTTCAGGATTTATCATTGCCCTTCTGGTGTTATACAAATCCTCTGTATGAAAGGGACAGCAGGAAAGGCAGGTGGCCCCACGGAGAAGCGGGTGTTTGCAACCTCATGGTCTGAGGCTGTGGTGGGCTCACCTCTCCCCGTCTCTTGCAGGCACATCCTCATCTGTCTTGCTGCATACCTGGGCTGTGTGTGCTTTGCTTACTTTGATGCTGCCTCAGAGATACCCGAGCAAGGTCCGGTCATCAGATTCTGGCCCAGCGAGAAATGGGCCTTTATTGGTGTCCCCTACGTGTCCCTCCTGTGTGCCCACAAGAAGTCGCCAGTCAAGATCACGTGATGGCAAGGCAGTGGCTGGCCTCTCTACTTATTTCTCTTCATGCACTGGGCTTCATTTGCTAGCAAAGATAGCCATGGGGGTTGAAGAATTGGTGTGGGTGTGTCTGCTTAAAATTCTGTTCCTTTGGGTTGACTGGACCACTGTGCCTGGGAGGAGGTCCATCCTTTCCCCAGGATGGGGGAGGGAGGGCTCAGGGACAGTAGGTGTGTCACTCAGCATCCCTTCCAGGCACATGAGCTTGCTGGGTTATATCCATTATGGCAGTGGCAGAGTAGTTCATTGGGAGACCCAGGCCAGCTTCTTGCTGGAGAAGGTGGCTTGCTGTAAATCCCACCATTCCCGTGCTCTCTGATTACACAGGAGTCAGCCCCTTGGATACGTAAGACTTGATTTTTGTGATGGGAAGTACTGGAGCTTTTCATTTGCAGGGGAGAAATTGTCCTTAACAAAACCATGTGGACAAAACCCACATGGGGGCTGTGGCTCAGGGGGCCTGGCTTGTCACTTGCACTTCTCAGCTTTTCCGGGTTTTCCACGAGCTTGTGGGTCCTTCAACCACTACCTCTACTGAGAGATGGAGATTTGGCGCCAGAGGGCAAAGCTAGTAACTCCCTCTGCCAAAACCTGCACTCAGCTTTAAGCACACATTAAATAGTAGCACTATTTCTGCTCTTCCTGAAGCTCCGTAGCCTCAAACCCACAGACAACCGTTCTGGTATGAAGACACACAGCCCCTCGGCTTGCCAAGTGACCTCTGTGAGAGCACCAAGGGCTCATTTCAGTCACTGAGGCAGCTCTGGTTTCGACTGTAGATAGAGTGTGTGCGAAACTTTGGGAAAGCCTTTCTCATTAGAAGCTTCCAGGATATTGTTACCTCCAAGACTCTGATGCCATTCCTCTGCTGTTTCCGGGGGATGTGAGCCTCCTGCTTTTGCTCTCCCAATACCTGGTGCTAACTGGTTTCTCAGAGCACTTGACTCTGCTCTTCTGTCAGTCACTACACTCTGATTTGCTGGTTGGGTGTAACAGGTGGGTAGGGGCCTTCAGGGTGTGAGGTGGGATGGGGTATCTCAGGGATGTTTGTAACTCAGGCACCTTTGCTTTCTGACATTCCATTGTGGGGAGAGGGGTAGTGCTCAGGGGATGGAGTCATGCCACTGTCCTGAGTGGTGGAATGTTGTCCTGAATCAGAAGGAGCTAGTTGGTTCTGGCACTTCAGGAACTCTTACCCTGATTAGAATTTTCACAGGGTCCACCATAGAAACTGATTTTTTTTTCACATTAATAGACTTCATTTTACTTTTGTGGTCTTGAAGTTTTATAAGTAACTTGCTAGGCCATTTCTTTTCTATAGTAACAAATCTTTATGGAACATGGTTGTGTGAAGTATGTTATCTTTTATTAACTTTTATTAACTTTATAAATTAAATAAATCTCCCAGGCAGCAAACATGCAAGTTATTTGGTTGGGATTTTCGAGGCAGAAATATTTGGTTTTGAGTGAGTGTATATGTTAGCTTACTATAGCTTAAAATATATTTAAAATGGCTTTGAGTTGAATGTTTGTGGCAAACTAGGGGCTCATGGAATTGCTGCTGAGTTCTTTGGTTTCAGAGGGCAAAATCAAGCCATCCTTGTTTCTGGTTTGTATTCCCAGGCATGTAGTCTGCTGTTATCTATTTTACACTATATAAATGTCCTAAAGACAACACCCAGCTGCCTGGGTCTGGAAGGGTCAGCTGGGGCTGGAGAGTTGGATCAGCAGTACATGTTGCTTTCCCAGAGGACTCGATTCCCACCATACTCTAGTCCCAGGGGATCCAGTGTCCCCTTCTGATGTCCAAGGGCACCAGGCTTGCACATACATACAGGCAGGCAAAACGTTCATACACATAAACTAATAAAATGAGTAAATTAAAAAGTTGACTGGAGGAGAGGATTTTTAGATGCAAGTTTTCATTTGTCCCAAGGGTTCTTTTGTGGCAGGTGGTGTTGTCCTCGAAGTCAGGGAAGAACCGTTCCTTTTCATCAGGAAAAGGACTTACTGCCTAGGGCCTCTGCTGACACCCCTAGCAATAGGGATAAAAATTGTTGGTGGGTATGCTGAACGTGATTGGGTGAAAGGAAGTGAACACCTGACTCAGTAAGCAACTTCTCCATGTGTGTGCCACCATACCTGGCTTGGGATGGAGTGTGTTTAGAGGCAAACACCTTCTTTTTCCCTTCTGTCTGTGACAGAGCTTTGCTTCCCTGGCATCAGTACTCGTTATGTAGCCCAGGCTGGCCCCAGACTGATGGTATACCCCCAGATTCAGTCTCTCAAGTGCTAGGTGTGATTATAGGAGTGAGTTACTACATCCATCTTAAACAGAAATCAATCTGTAGCTTGCTAGCGAGGGGCTACACATATATGAGTCTAATTTTGAGCTGGGCTTTGGGAGCTGTTCATATTTACATTAAAGCTCTACATGTTCAGAGGGAGCTGGGACAGTAAAGAAAAGCAGCTAAAGAAAGAAAAATTACTACTACCTCTGTTGCCTTACAGCATCCCTTGCCAATATTTTGGCTTTTGGGTGTGTTCCCTTCCTATCCTTTCTGCCCCACTTCAGCTATAATTAGGTGGCATTTGGACCGTTTATCCTTAAACGGAATCTGAATGTCAGCATTTTCATGGAGAGGTGGTGTGGGGTACACTTGAGCTGCCTGTCTCTTGAATGCTGAGTGCTGGATTCTGAGCTCACTACTGGAACTACCTTATCCATGAAGCCTGCCTTGAGTGGCCCCTGAGACAGGAGCTGATTTTAGCCTTGCCATGTGACACTTCACATTTGGATCTCTGTATCATAGTAAACGGCTCTTAAAGATGGGACTTCCTGGATTTTAATGTGTTGAGAGTGGTAAACAAAACAAAACAAAACAAGCTGAGTTTACCACTTGATGTGCAGTTCAGAGACTCCTCTCTCCCGGAGGAGTTGACATTGATGAGTGAGGTCATGGCCACCGTTACCAGCATGAGTGTCAGACTGTTCGTGTTCCCAATCTGCCTGAGATCTCAGGACATAGAAAGCCAAGAATGTTACCAAGCGATCATCTCTGCCCACGATTTTACAGTTTTGATCCATCATTGATTCTTAGAGAAAGAGTTCCTCTCTCTAGTGCCTGGTGATGCCAAAGCCAGCTTTTTCTATCTGCACCCATTTGTAACATGACCCATGTGAGGGAAGTGTGAGCCTACCTGTGAAAAGTGCCTAAAACAGTCATGGTGGGTCAACAGTGCTGTGTTGAGGGGCACAGCTGGATGGTTGTCAAACAGGGGCTTTGTAAAAAATACTGCCACCCATTCTATTGGCTGGGTTTCTCAGGTGACTCAAACTTGCCCCATGAGCCAGCACTGGGGTTTGAACCTTCTCTGGCCCTTCTTTCTCCAGAGTACAGGCAAGGGCCGGAGCTTGGCCAGCCAGGGCATTTCTCCCACTTCCTTTCTCTAGCTGAACTTGGATTCTTCCTAACCAGGGCTTGACCTGGGTGCTGTTGGTCCCAACGGCCAATGACACATCTCCAGCCAGATTGGGATTCTCACTGGATTTTATAGACATTCTCCCACAGACATTAAAATGTGGCCCTTACTCCAGAGGGCTTGTGTCTTTTCCTGCATGTCAAGTCAGATTGAAAACAATTTTATAACCACAACATGTAATCCAAGTAAATAGAGTATTTTCAGATCTATACCATGTTTTATACTTTTATGTAGGGTGTACTGTGTATGGGTGGTATGTACCCTGGGCTGAGGTAGCATTAATCATTGCTCTGGGGGAATTTATAGACCTTTTGCACTTTATGCCTTTTGTGTGTGTGAACTCTGATAACCACAGTTAATGTTAAAGCCATCAATTGGAATTTTCTGTGAATAAATATGTATATGTATCTATTTCTGAAGTTATTTCCTCTTTCTTTAAACATATAATTATCTGTGTGTGTGTATGTATGTGTGTACCAGTGGTGGCCCTCTCTCCTTCCACCTTCACGTGGGCCCCAGGAATCGAACTCAGGTTGCCAGACTTGGGTGTGATACGCCTTTACCCACTGAGCCATCCTGTTAACCCATTTGTTTCCTTGTTCCCCCTACTCCGCTGTGTCTTTTAGACAGAGTCTCATGAAGCCTAGTCTGGTCTTGAACTTATATATACAGTTGGGAATGACCATGAACTTCTGATCCTCCTGCCTCTACCTCTCAGTGGGATTACAGGGTGATGGTCCGAATGAGAATGGCTTTCATAGGCCCAGAAGTCTGAACACTTGGACCCTGGTTGGTAAAACTGTTTGTGAAAGATTAGGAGGCTTTGTCGGAGGTGTGTCATTGTCGGCAGGTTTAAGATTAAACAAAAAAAAAAAAAAAACCTCAAAACCAATCCCCCAAACAAACAAACCAAACCAAAAAAAAACCTCCCTCCATCCCCAGTACACTCTCTGCCTCCTGCCTGTGCACTGAGTTGTGAGCTCTCAGCTGACACCATGACTTTGCTCATCATCATGGATTATGGCTCTCTGAAACTGTAGGCCAACTGAATACTTTCTTTTATAAGTTTGATGGCTCATGGTGTTTTAGCTCAGCAATAAAAAATAACTAAGATAGCCACCATGTCTGGATCTTCAAAATAATTTCTGAAGTATCTGTAATGAAAATTAACTTTTTCTCCCTCCCTACTTCTCTCCTTCCCTCCCTCCTTCCCTCCCTCCCCCCTCTCCTTCCCTTCCCTCCCCATCCCTCCCTCCTTCTCTCCCTCCCTCCTTCCCTTCCCTTCTTCTTCTTCTTTTTTTTTTTTTTTGGAGTCAAAGCATTTTTTTAAATTTAATTTATTATTTTACATGTCGATCCCAGTTCCCCCTCCCTCCCTTTTACCCTCTCTGCCCTCTCACATGCACCCTGACCACCCTCCCCTCCCATCCCCCCCACCCCAATTCCATATGTAGGGGAGTGCCATGCAGTTGGGGTCATGTAGGTCTGACAGGTCAT